ATAGGCCGTGACTCGGAACACTCCATATACATTGTGTGAACTTGATTGATTGAATATCACTTCTAACAACGCTGTGTTTCAACAAACACCCTACCATCCCGCTCCCGAAGGACCCGGTACGATTTGGAGTTGGGCTCGTAGCCCAAGAACACTCCGCGCTCACTCACGGGCTCCATTTTCTGCCGGTTCCCCTTGGGCACGTGGATGTAGGCCCGCGCCCCAAACACCCGAACGTGGCTTCTCCCCATAGAACATCTCCCACGGCGTCTTGCCGTGCACGCTCGAGGGCACCCGGTTCCTGGTGTAGTTAGCCGTGACCATCGCTTCCGCCCACAACTCCGGCTTCAACCCGGCATCATCTAGCAAAGCCCGTGCTCTTCCTCGAGCGTCCGGTTCAACCGCTCCGCCGAGCCGTTTTGTTCGAGAGAGTGCCCCGCCGAGGTCCGTTGCACCGTCCTTCTCTTCCCGAGGAGGGCGGTCATTCCCTCGTTGACGTACTCCCCAGTGCGGTCCGTTTCCACCGATTTGACCTTCTTCCCGGATTGTAACTCCAAACGGGCAAACACGCTCTCCGTGACCGCCGTGACGTCGCTCTTCCGCTTCATCGGTTGCACCACCGAAAGCTTGCTATAGTCGTCGCGGAAAGTGGCCAAGTACCTACTCCCCCCCTTTGACGTCACCGGCATGGTCCCGCACACGTCCATGTGCACGAGCTCGAGGCCCGGGCTTGTACTCTCCTTGGAGTCCGACTCCTTGAAAAATGGCTCCCGGGTTTGCTTCCCCGTGATGCAAGGCTCGTACACCGAACTTTTCTCCTCCCGAAACGCCTCCGCTTTGACCCCCCCACACCCCGGACCAACCTGGAGCCCTTGACCATCTTAGCCACGCTCTCATAGCCGGCATGCCCCAACCTCCGGTGCCACAACACTGGGCTCTCGGCTTCCCTCACGAGTAAGCACGTGTCCTCCCACGTTGCCTTTGGTTGGCAAATCACCGACATGCCCTCCACGTTCTCCTCCGCCCGAAGCATGACCTCCCCGTCCATGGACAATTCACACACCTCCCCGCGAAACACAACCTCGGCCCCTACCGCGGCTGCTTTCTTCACCGAGAAGAGGTTCTCCGCCACACCCGGGACGTACGCCACCTCACAGAGAAGGTTCACCCGCTCTCCCGAGGGCGTCTCACACCGCAACTCCACGGTGCCCACCCCAGCTACCTCAAGGGACCGCTTGTTCGCAAACTTGATCGCCCGAGTTCCCGGCTCAAGCAATTCCAACGTTGAGAATGAGCTCTTGACCCCCGTCATGTGTTGGCTAGTCCCGGAGTCAACAATCCACCTTCCCCGGCTACAAAGGCTACCTCTTGCCGGCCCCCGGTTTCCCCCTTCTTCGGGCATTCCCTCTTGAAGTGGTCCGGGCTACCGCAAATGTAGCACCTGTTCCCCGACTTCGGCTTCTCCGGCTCTCGAGACCCGGACCGGCACTCTCTTTCAAAGTGCCCCAACTTACCACGCTTGTGGCACGCCATGGAAGCCTGGGGCCGGGCCACCCTTGTCCTTGCCGCCAAAGTTGCCACCATTGGCCGCGGAGGCCACCGCCGTTGCCAAGCCCGAGGCCCCGCTGTCTTGCTCCCCAAACAGCCCATGCCTTTACTCAAACACTTGCAACTTTTAGAGAAGCTCTTCCACCTTGCCTAGCTCCTCCTTGGTGGTGGTCAACACCGTTACTACCCCCTCAAACCGGCTTGACAACCCGGCAAGCACGCTAAAGGATAGATCATCCGGCTTCATGTTGGAGCCGGCGGCTAACAAATCCCGGTAAAGGTCTTGGGCTCTACCCACATAGGCGGCAACGGACTCACCGGATTGCATCTTGAGGGTGCTCAACTCATGCCGGAGTTGCAACTTCTGAGCCGCACTTTTGCTCTTGTAGGTCTTTTTCAGCGCGTCCCACACTACCTTGGCATTCTCAGCTGCTAAGATTGCCCCTCGGTGCTGTTGCCGGACGTGCAAGCCTATCAAAGCTCTTGCTTCCTTGGTCCTCTCCGCATCACCGGCCGGGTCCGTGACCCCTTTCCACAACTTCTTGTGTGTCAAGAGAAGTTGCATTCTCTGTGACCACACCGTATAGTTGTCAACATATAAAGGCTCTATGTTGACCTTCACTCCTTCAGCCATCTTTACCGCTAGCCAACCAACGCTTCTTAGGCTGGACACTCCTTTGTGCTGAGAAAGGTTTGTGGGTATTTTCACGGGCGTCGCGAGATAGAGTATTACTTCACTCCTTTAGCCCCCACTGAAATACCTTTCACCAACCTAGAATTGTCGTTGCTGGCAATTACTACTCAGATCCCTCACTCCCTGGCGTAAAGGGCCCATATTACCTGTTGCAAGCAAACGCCTTTCAAGTTCACAACTACTAGGAATGAGTCTCCATTACATGGCAATGTCCAAGGCATTCCAAATCCGTAGGTAGGTTTACCCTAGCCTTCCTTGCCTAGTCCACCTCTGCCGGGCACTAGTCGGTTCAACTATATGAAGTCTTATCCAAGTGACCGGGTCACTATACGACGCACTCGGGTCACTATACGACTGGCTATATGGGCTAATTACCACTCGGACTTGTGGTCGGTAGTACTATACCGAGGTGGTCGGTAGTACCGTACTACTAGGTCGGGGCTACTACACACTAGTGGTCGGGGCTCCTAAGTCACACAACTCGACTCACGATCGGACGGTCTATATTGCGTGAATAACACACCAAATAGCTTGCCATCCTACGGTCGATACTCGGCCTATCGAAGCCTTAATCGACGGCTACGAATTGTCTAGGATATCAGGGCGTACTCACTCAAGTAACGCCCGAATCTCAACAGGCCCATACGGTAGCCTGACCCTGATATTATCTACAGTGCGAAAGTCGCTTCCTAGTCCACGCATCAGGGGCAAAGAGAATCTGACCTACAGCAACGGATTAGCCAAACGCATCATGGATGGTCACGTTCGACTCTGGATATGATTGCAAGAGGCAGCTCCTATTTCAGTGCACCCGGAGCCGGCTAGGCGTGTCTCGCTGCATACCGATCCTCGAATAACAGTCTACTACGCACCGCACCGAAAGCAAAGCGAAGGAACGTCGAGCACGTTTGTTCGGTTTTCTCACCTTTTTCGGGCTCTTGCCTTCGTTGATTCTGAGGAGCTTGAGTCCTCGGCGGCTGGCAGCGGAACCCTGCTACAGCAAGGTTGGCTGCGACATGGCCGTGCATGTCGAAGTGGCTGTGCGTAAGATGCCCGCCCTCCTTGACGTATGCGGTTTACCCGCCTGCGACACGCCCCGTCTCGGCAAAGACCTGCTCAACGTCTACCCCGTCTTCGGCTTTACGTCCTGCGTGCAAATGCCCATACCCGCGGTCTGCTTGAATGGCTCCTTCTCGTCCAACGGGTATAAACAAACTGCCCTCCCGTATCCTCCCCATCCCGGCCCACGCATCTCGAGCGAACCCCGTTGCGGTCCTCGGTTGGATCGGCCTCGCCGTTAACCTCCTCTTGATTGAAAATCATACCCTCGAGGTGAGGGTGAATAGCTCGTAGCATCTCGACTTGCTCCTTCGTGTCCAGCAAACCGGTTCTCACGAAATGCTCATGGCCGGCCGGCAGCTTTGCTCGAAAGGCGCTGGAATTAAGCTCTGATAGCGGTACTTCGTTTGCCACGACCACGAGGGCTTGGCCAAACGTGTCTCGAGAGCGGGAAACCATTGTATTGTTGGCAATCCCGCAAATCGTTTACATCCATGAACGTGGAGCGGAGAAGAACGCCCCTTCAGATGGATTGAAGAGAAGGCGCGAGTATGACCGACAGCGGGGACAACACTTGTTGTTAAAAGCTGCGATTCAGCCTTGGACCTCGTGACAGTCGGCGGTCACTAGGTTCAGTTCTCCTACTTGGTCAGTTGTTAGAAACGCGGAACGTCTGGGCCAGCGCAGAGCACACGTCCGATAGCACTTGGACCGATCCAACTTTATATCATCAATTGTCCGTGCAAAGGCATTCACCTGAAGCTGGAGGATGTTCGCGTCGTTTTGCGGCATATTGAATGAGCTGTACCGCCCTCCCATCGCGTGGTTGAAGGCTTTCAAATACTGCGTTGTAGGTGCTGCTTGCTGATTTCGCGTGGCGAAAGACCCGGCCAGCCTCCAGCTTTCGAGCGCGAGCTCGGGGAAGGTCACCTAGAAACACAACGTGTATCGAACCACACAGGCGCCAGCATAAATTGGCGGACACGTGTTGGCACCTTAGCTGCGGTCATGAATTGGAGAATGTATTAGTTGCGAGAATACGGGGCCCGATTGGATAGTTCCGTCATCAGGGCGTGTTAAATCAACTCAAAAACGGGGACGGTTTGAGGTGCCTACTGGTATTGCTCGGATAACCGTGTGGGCGTGTGAAAAGAAATGGTAAAAGCAGACGCGCATCAGGAGAAGTTCGGCCACCCTCGTCAAGAATGAATGTTGGCTGTCCGTCAGAGGTCGTCGCTATTTGGGGGAAAATCAATCTACACTCACCTCGTCGTATTCGTCTTGACCTTTCGAACGTGCTTTTTTTTCTTCTATTCACGATGGGTAGTTCCGATTCGAGCAAACGCCTCAGCTTGTGCTTTTCTCGGGCTAGTGAAGCACCACCTGGAGATGGGCTTGTACGGCGTGTGGAGAGAAGCCAATGTGAACCCCTAAATTATTTACTTTCCGGATTAGTACACCCGTCTCAACTCTACCAAGCAAAGAGAGTGCCCCTAAGCTGGCATCAGCAGCATTCCATGGCGGCCTCCAGGATAGGCCTATTCAATTCGAGCAGTGTCAGTGTTACCGGCCGCACCCTGATTGAGCCTGGAAGCAGTGCAGACTTCTGCATGTGCAATTCAGTGATTAATTCGTGGTGCAAAAAACATGTCCAACCTATTTATCCGCTTTCAGGACATTGCCCGCAACAACAACCACCTGCGGACTGATTGTTAGGAGCAAGGGGGGAGCAAGAGAGAAGCATTGGTGGGTCACACCCGACCCATATTTGCATCAAGGTGCAGCTGCAGCCAGAGCATATGTAGCACCCACCTCCAAGCAGCCTACCAAAGCAGGGCAACTTCAGTTCGGAGTGCGGTGCGGCAGCTTTCAACTACCAGCAACGCAGGTGAGTTGTTTACTTCAAAGAGTTGGTTTCGACATTACACTGCGGGAGCATCTTGATGATCTTTGGATTGCCAGAGAAGAAACATATTCATTTGAGACTTTCTATTGCGGAGCCGCCGCAAAATACATAAGCTTGTTCCAGCTTTGTGAGCATACTACGTCAGTTGACGCCTGAATATCCCGTTTTGGACATTCATTTGGAATCCTTCAGGCCAGGCTAATGCGCGTTGAAACCCGTCGCGCAATCGAATGCCTGAACAATATAGCTAGGGCTCGACTACAAACTTTGCGCGTTTTCGCGGAACGTCGAAAGCAAGTTTTGCAGTAGTCACCGAATTTAGGGTTAAAGTACCGTTCGGTTCTTCACCGTACACTTTATGGTACCTGCGACGTACTAAGAATTGAGGTACCGTGCATCAAGCGCGCGGCATGCACCTAAATTACCCGTATACTAGGTGCGTACCGGCTTGTGCACCATAAAAACATATTTTCATAAAATTCTTTAGAATCCATCAAGGATCCTTATGAATCCTGAATTTTTGGGACCGGAGGTATGGGCTTTGGATTCGTAGGTCAAGTTCAGTTTAGTTACATATTTTGGTCCGAGGTAACCGGGGATGGCATGCAGCCAACGGAGGGGTTCTACAAATTCAGGGTTCAGGAGAACCGTGAGTGAACCCTGAATGAATATACAGGAAGGGTTCACTTGGAATAAAATATACTGTCGTCTGCCGCCATCAGTTTGCATTTCGGTATGTATTATGACCGAGACCCGGGTGCGCGACGGTGGGTACCGCACAAGTTATTCAACGCAGATCGCGACGCAGATCGCGACATTTTCGGACATATTTTCGGTACATATTTACCAGGACTCCGTACTAAATACTTGGCAGTATCAACTGGTAAAATTCGTAAATTTCCTAGAGTATGCTACCGCCGCGCAGATAAGGTACAGTAAGACTGTACCGCGTACGGCCCTTGGAAGTCTTCCACTTCCGTGCATTGTAGATTTATCCATTTGAGTACCTTAAATGATGTTGCGAGAAGCAAATCACAGCAGCTCGGAACCATGCTACACATCAAAACCGAGTAGCAATCAGTGCTAGATTGACTACCATAAATTCAAAAAGAAATGGCAAAAGCAAATCACGGCAGCTCGGAATCATGCTAAACAGCATAACCGAGTAGCAACCCATGGTCGCCTGCTGAACCGGGCATCATTTCGGCTTCATTCGGACTGCTTCTGAACCCTGAATTTCTGAACAAGTCGACCGGGACCCTTGATATGGCCCGCGGCCCGGTTCGACCGCTGAACCAAGCGTCATTTCAGATTCATTCGGGTTCCTTCCCGATCTTGAAATTCTGAACAAGTCGACCGGGACCCTTGATACGGCCCGCAGCCCCGGTTTGCCCTCTAAACCGGGCGTCATACCAGCTTCATTCGGGTTCCTTTCGAACCCTGAATCTCTGAACAAGTCGACCGGGACCCTTAAGGCCCGCGGCCTTGATTCGCCTTTCTGAACCGGGCGTTGTTTCAAAAATCATTCGGGTTCCTTCTGAACCCTGAACTTCTGAACAATCGACCGGAATCCCTAAAGTCCACGGCTCTGGAGCGCCCTCTGAACCGGGCTGTCAAGGTCATTTCAAATCCATTCGGGTTCCTTCTAAACCCTGGATTTCTGAGAACCTTGACCGTCCCTCCTAAGGCCCGCCGGCCCAACGGCGGCCGCTAAACCGGGCTTCATTTCAAGCACATTCGAATGAATCGTTCTGAACCCTGACATTCAAAACAAACGGGACCGGGCCGGGCTATACGGGACCGGCGGCGTACGAGACCGACTATATATAGCCTATAGCCATGTACGTGAAAACGAAAGTGCCTGATGGGTAGTGAAATTGACGGATGTCCTGAAATTGGAATCTAGGGCCGCCATTGACGTTGCATCTTTGTGAGTACTTATGGAAATGCTAGTTTGTTTCACATCCTCAATCCCCTTTCAAGGGGCCCCATCCTAAAATGCAATCTTCAACACGTAAATGTTTCCAGTGTCTGGTTTCGAGCTCCTGTGTGACGATTCGTGTGTATTAACTGCATACCGAACTCGCCACAGTATTTTACTCTGCGCCTATTGGTGTATCTGTTCCGATCGTGTACGCATTCCGGTTCCGTTGCGTTCCGTTCTGATCTGTCGCTACATGCCCGGAAGCGGATCACGTGCTACTCTGACAATCTGACACTACCGGTTTATTGCTATGTCATGATTTGACAGCCGAGATGCCGCATACCTCTCAGCATGTACGAGTCTGTGCGTACATGGCTATAGGCATGGCGTGAATGTTGTGACATTGCGTGCATGAAGTCTGAAGCCGAAGGTCCGCCCTGAAGCTTACCTATTGGAACTACTTGTCCGACTCTACACTTCTCTTAGTACCTGTACATGAGGTAATTCCTCGCTTGCGAGCAAGGTTCCAAGTCCATGAACAGGAAGGAGGAGGACACTTCTGTAGTTACAATTTCTAGAGGAAGGGCGCTTCTCGGTTTCATGGCTGCTGCATAGGCGACAGTAATCTTCCGCTGCATACTCTGATCGCATTACCCTGCTTATAGCTCATAGCTTTGGGTGAGAGTCACATCCTGTGAGTAACTTATAGTGTATCGACACTCTGCGAGCTACGACTTGTCAGTTAATCTGCTTGATTGCCTACGCTTTTGCGTCCATTGGATGCATCCCTTTGAACCGTTGGGGAGCTTTGAGATTTCAAAATTGCTATCAACTCGGGGGCGGCTTGTTGATCTTGCGCTCTGTTGCTCAGCTCCCCACATGGCCAGTTTAACTTGTGTAGGCTGAGTCAAGTCAAGTTCCCGGCCTCTTACACGTCCTCTGGTCCACGATGTGTGCAGACGCCACGAACCCGCTGCCCCGGCCACCCGGTACCACTGGCCCACTGAGGACGTCAGTGAACCTGCCGGCTAGAGGTGAGCACACGGGTCGAACAACTTCACACCTTCTGCGTGTCGACGAACCCGGAATCTCGACGAGCTTTACTGGCTCTCTGTACGTTATTGTGTTGTGGCTACCCGTTGTTAGACACGAGATTGCCCCTGCAACCCCCTGCGGCTGTCCTCAGGCTGGAAAGGGAGGGTGTCCATGCGAATGTCATGATCCGATTTTTTGAGTGCGGGTGCCGCCACCGTCTTGAACACCTGCCTTGTGACGTCCTCGCACAGAGGTGCCCGCACCATCTAGAGAGCCACCGTGCACCCCGAGAGGGCTCATTTAGCACCCGCGTCGTCTGGAAGCCGCCAATCCCTCCCGCCGTGGGCATCATCGTTCGTTCCCGCACAGGGCACGCGGCCTAGCCCCGCCGTGGGCCCTGCACCCTCATAAGAAGACGGCCACGACGAGGACCCCGCTGGGTTCGAAGAGATCAACAGCGAGCGCCGGTGGGTGCTCGTCAAGGGGCTCTTGAACGACTGGACTACTGACGAGGCGCTCCAATGTCTCATTAGGGCATTCCTAGGGGCGCTCGGAAGCCAGATTATGACAGTTCCACCACGGGGCCTCTTTGACATTGTCAGCGTCGACGTCGAGTGGCACGTGGATTCCAAGGTGGCGCGTGTCCGCTTTGCCACGCCGTTGGGGGTGAAGCTGGCTTGGGAGCTTAGCCACGTACGTTGCGGGCTGCGCACAAGCATCGCGTTCACGCCCGCGGTTGTGGGAGCTCAATGTCATCTTCGGGAAGCCCTGTCGAGACCGCCGAAGCCCCCCCGCCCGAGGAAGTCGCCAGCCAGAGGGGTTTAGGGATGATCGCGGCAGGATAGCTCCCATCGCAGGCTCCCTAAGTCTGGCTTTCGAGGCCCATGGGAGAATGGGAGGCCGAGAATCTCGTCCGGGAACAAGTTGCGGCGCGGGGCGGCGACCCGCACTAATTGGAGCTGGTCGGCGTCAGCGCATGCACACATGTCAACCGCTTTTGCGACCCCTACGGACGCTTCACTCGTTCGAGCCGCCGCCAGCCGCTACGAGTGGGGCGCTGCCAAGGTCGCCTTGGTCGGGTCCAAAGACTGCCTTCTCATCCCCGAGCTCTTCATTGGCGTCCCGCTCGAGAAGATCCCCAAGAACTAATCCGACAAGATGGACCTTCTCGGGGGTATTGTGGACGACGCCCTATCCGATGGGTTTGTTGTCTCTGGTCCCGCCTCAACGGGCCGGTGCGCGACGCGCCGGGGACGTACGCGTCCCCCAACTTTAATAGGGAGGCGCGCTTCCAGCAGTGAGAGGCATATTGCAGTTCTGGATCTGTACATGCACGTTTTCTTCGAATATCCTCGCTGTGGTTCGTGCGTCATTGCGGACAGTCCTTGAAGCTCTTGGAGCAGACTTGCTGGACGTAGTCCGCCGCAGTTTGGTTCTCCGATCAAAGGGGCGTACTCAACCCTGGCGTCTTCCTTCCCTCTTGTTTCTTTGTGCTTCCACCGCACCCTCACCATCTCTTTGCTTGTATCCGGGGAACTGCAAAAAAGATCTTTATAAGGTGCATTGTTCCCGTGACCATCGCATCACACCTCTTCCGACCCCAACGAGGTCTATCAACTCTCAGCCGTCCCCGTCCTTTGATGCGCGTGAAAAGCTGTGATCCCCAAGGCGGAGAATTTGCCCACCCCCGCCCCGTCAGTCCGGATGCATTGCTGACCCGCTCAAACGCCGAAACACGGTCTGCGAATGAACCCGCTCTTCCGACTGCACGTGCGACTTGAGGTTCCGTGTGGAGTACCAGCCAGGAATTGCGCCGGCGGCCCTGCACCCACATGGGGCCATTGACTGCTAGAGCCACCACGGGCTGCATACTGAGTTGCTGCGGGTCCATTGACGGACCGCTGCAGAGGAAAGCAAGCACGCAAGCATCACAAGCATTCAACAAGGTCGAGTATCTATTGGTTTGGCTTCGTTTGCATATTATTTTGCATTTTCCACAAGGGGTTTATCTTTCTTGTGATTGGAAGTGACTCATTTTCCGCACTTTCGGCGTATCATTCATGTGTATGCCATATTCCGGTGCGTAGTAGGCATTGGCACTACGGCGTCTGCAGATATACGTTCGGACACTAAAGCGCATTGTATTGCTCACCTAAAAGCTTACTTATAAAACCTGAGATTTAAGAATATTTCTTGAAGCCTGTTTTGACCGGTACGTCAGCAGCCAGCCCTGCGGGGTTTGTTATTGTGTATGCGCTGAATATACGTAGGGTACGCTACCATTCTCTGCTGCGCCATTGGGCAGTTCTACTTGTGATCATTTGATCCAGGAGAAACTTTGCCAATCGAAACTTTAGAGTCAATGTTCTTCCCAGAGAATTGGTTCGCTACGATCAAAGATTTGCGGTATTTGCATGCTTGGCACTCTTCCCTACTCTGGGCTGCTGGATGTTGCTGTGGTGTTGTTAAAAACCCGCCTTAACGCCTCGTAAATGGAGTATACGTCGCTGTTTTACTATCCTGAAAACAGGGTTAGAAATCTGGTCAGGGTTTAAACCCTGGGTTAGTATTTCCTAGCGGGAGTTGGTGCTTAGGTAGCTCTTGATGTTGTCGTCACAGCCTGATAGGCTTTTCTCATAGTGGCAACCGTCACCGCCCGTAGCGTATGACCTTCTTATGGGGGTCAAATATGCTGTACTGCTGAATACCTAACACCATATTCTGATTCGCTTTGCATTCTCCGGCAGATTCTGCAGGAGTTTCAGACTCGGTAGCCTAGGTTCAGGCAGGTCTTGCACATTGACTTAAGACTTCATGAAATTCTCTCTCTCCTCACTTCCTTTGGAAATAGAGTGTTGAGACAGGTACATACCCTTGTCAGAAGGCGTGTCTGATAGTATTCCGTTTTCTTCTTCGCGAGCGCACCCGCATATGACTTACAAACTGACTATCGACATGTCGCTCTGTGTTAGATGCCTAAACGTGACCCTTTTGACAACGACAACTTTGACGACATCAACGTGGACGAGTATGCGGAGGACCCGCCGCCACGTGTCCAGCCCCTTAATGATCACATGACGCAGGTCGCTTTTAAATTTCAGACGTTAGATGACGCTTTCGAATTGATGACGCCTTGGTGCTTCATGGCCAAGGTAGATATTGAGGGCGCCTATTGTCACGTCCCTATCGACCCTCTAGATCGGGATAATTTAGCCTTTATTCAGCCAGATCGTCACGAAGTATTCGACGGGTATCTTGCATTCGGGGCCAATTTTGCCTGCGAAGTCTTTAACCGAATTGGTTTAGCAAATTATATGCGTCATGGCCCGACTTGGAATACGATGCATTGTCGGATACGTTGATGACTTTTTGATTATTGCAGCGACAGAGGCGGAAGCGTGGCGCGCGTACTCCGGTCGCTCGGGATTTCATTAAACATGAAGCCACAGAAGACGGTTTTCCCTGCCCAAATATGCACGTTTTTTGGTATCTGTCTTGATTCTGTGCGTGTGCAGGCCCGCCTGGATGACGCTAAATTAGCGTCGACCTTAGAGTTATTGCAGCGCATATTGCGCAAGAAGGCCATCAAACGCCGGGAGCTGGAAAGTTTGAATGTTTGGCGGGCAAACTCAATTGGATCGCTCGCGTTGTATATGGGGGGCGCACGTTTTCGCGTCGGAATATTGACTCCGTTCACAGCGTGAAACACTCCTCGCACTTTATTTCCGTTTTCGGCGGTCTTCGGCAAGTTGCAGTGGTACTTTGATTTTTTGCCTACATTTACTAGACAGACTGCGCTCGTTTCACCTCGCTCTCTATGTCCTCTTTAATTTTCCATTGACGCTTCCTCTTCGTTGGTTGCGTGTCTGCAGGGGAGCTACGTTTCTTTATCTTTTGAGGCACCCGCTCGCCTCTATCCTCACGCCCACCCGCAGGCCGCCCCCATCCACACCACGAGATTTCGCCTTGTTAATTGCGTGTCGGACATGGCCGTTTGCGTTACGGGTCTTTTTTATTGTTGTCGTATTAACAACCAGGTCGTCATTTTCACAGTAAACAAAGGAACGGCTAAAGGCGAGTTTGGTCCATTGATGATGCAATATCTGCGTGAATTTTCCTGGTCTGCGTCACTTGATTTTAGAATCACAGCTCGTTACATCACTTCGAAAGATAACGCTCTGTCGGACTCGTTGAGTCGCAATGACTGGGTCGCATTTAATTCAGACCTACGCAGTTTTATTTGCGACGGCGCCCTGCATTTGGTCACGCCTGCGCATGTTTCTGTACAGTTGACTTCCTTGTAATAATATGCAGCGCGAATCGCGGGATTCCGGGACATCTTGGACGCGCACACACGGGTGTACCTGTCCGAGTGGCTGGCGCGCTCCAATGACGTGGCGTACAAGGCGCGCACGTCCGCTACTGGGTGCAGTTCTATACGTTTTTCGATTACCCCGCCATCAATCCTACCGAGATGGTACTCTGCCGGTACGTTTCTTACCTGGCTTTCACCTGCGCTTACAAGAAGAGATGTGGGCGGAGGCCATTGTGACGGCCCACTACACCCGGAACCGGACCCCAGTGAGCGCGCACGAGAGGACCCCGTCGGAGGCGTTTCTACGGCAGGAGGCCTAGCGTGGAGCACATGCGGGTGTTTGGGGCAAGAGCTTACAGGCACGTTCCGAAGCAGCGGCGTCGGAAATTGGATCCGGTGAGCGAGCGGTTTGTGTTCGTGGGGTACGAGCCGGACTCTAAGGCGTACCCGGTGCTCCGGGAAAGCGACGGAAGGATCATGAACTCCGGGGACGTCATCTTTGACGAGGGCGAGGGGGACAACGGGGTTGTTGAGCTAAGCTCCAATCCTGGAGGGTTTCCTGGAGGCGGCCGGCGAGCGCGACACCGCGCCCGCGACCGCGCCCGCACACGCGCCTGCGCCCAATTTGCGGCCGTGTCGCACGCACGATTGCCAAAACCGACCAAAGTGGGCAAGTTTTGCAAAAGCGCAGAGCAGAGCCGGAAGAGATTGCGAAGGACATAGGGATGCCAACACCGGCTGGTCAGAGGAACCCCGCACGTGAGAGACACGCGCCGGGAGATTGGTACCGCGCCAACTTGGCGACGGACACTAAAGCGGGGGCGCATCTCAAAGGAACGGGGGAGCAACCAGAATCGGAGAGTTATCAGGAAGTCGTAGGTGGAGAAGAGACTGACCCTTGGCAGAAAGTCTATGGATGCGGAGATGCGTTCCTCGTTGGAGAACGGAACGTGGGAGATCGTCGAAAACCGAGGAAGGGGTTAAACCGGTTCCCATAAAGTGGGTTTACAAGATCAAGCGGGACGCTCACGGAAATGTGCAGCTGTACACGTCCCAGCTGGTGGCGAAAGGCTACCTGCAGAAGCAGGGGGTTGACTTCGAGACGAGGTCTACGCCCGGGTGAGCAAGCACACGACGTTGCGTGCGCTATTGGCGGTGGTTGCGGAGCCCGACTTGGAGCTGCATCAGCTGAACGTCAAAACGACGTTCCTTAATGGGGAGCTGAAGAGGAGATCTACATGCAGCAGCCGCAAGGATACGAGCAAGGTGGGCCGGAGATGGTCTGCCGCCTCAAGCGCACCTTGTACGGGTTGCTTCAGGCGCCGCATGCGTGGGTCACAAGGTCCTGGGTCGTTGCGGTAACATGTCGATAACATATCAGACAAGTCTCGGCACACTCGGCTAAAAGAAAATACATGGCGTCCCATGTCACTCATATGCATCACACACATCATCAATGATCCCACCAACGAGGCACTCGGCACCGGGATTGGCAAAGAGTAGGCAACCGTGAAGGGTGGAAGCGTCAAAGCGCTGGAAGGTGCTAAATCATGCAGGTGAGAGAATGCAAGGCGTCCAGCCTGACCATCACAAGGGAGCGCTGAAGTCTCCAAAACACGACTCGCGCAAAGTTGGCGAATGAGTCGAATGTTTCTAGGTTCTGCTCGCTGTCGTCGGAATATCTTAGTCGAGTCTAGAATCGAAGTCGAATCACCACGGTCTAGTGGTATCGCGCGAAGTGTGACCAGTAGTCTGAGTCCACAGCTAGCCTAGGAAGTCTACAAGTCGCGTGGAATCGATGTCACCATAACCGCCGGGGCTGGACGCTGTTATCAACCGCCGAAATATGTGGTCACACGGTTGAAATATGATCGTAACGGCCGCGCACAAAGATCAAGGCCACGCCTGTCAGCAGATATGCAGCGTTTTGAAGCTCAGGTACAGGGGGATCACCTTGGAGCGGCAGGCTTGCGCTAGGTGTAGGGAATAAACTAGCTTAGGCCGAGCCCTTGGCAACGAAGTATCACGGCATGACACCTGTCACGCGGTCTTGGGTCATTCCGGTAACATGTCGAAAACATACCAGATAAGTCTCGGCGCACTCGGCTAAACGAAAAATACATGGCATCTCAGATCACTCATATGCATCACACACATCATCATGATCCCTCCCCCCTATTGGGCGAAGTCGTCTCGACTGAGCGGACACCAGGGAGTCGCAGTGTGGTATGTGCCAACACGCCTTAGGTCTGAGGGCGGTTGAGAGGACAACGCGGGCAGAACCAGTTCGACCTTGGGGCGGTTTCTTGACGGGCGGTGTCAGGCACTTCATGTGCCAGCCCGAATCGCAGCTGTCGCATAGAAGCATGGGTCCGGTGCGGCGGTTTGCAGCCGTTTCGTGGCAGACCTCGCAGGCCTGGTCCTTTTCCTCAGCAAATGCTGGGTTTTGCCATGGATCAATGTTCGGATTGTGGCCGGGCGCACGGGTCTCAACATGATCTTTGATAGCCTTGCCATCACGGCCTTCCAGCAGCAGGCGGCCAGTGCTGAGCAACTGCTTCACACGCAAGATGATTCGACCCTTGTCGACTTCCATGGTATCCTTGGACTGGTGCCGGAGGTAGACATAGTCCCCTTTCTCGAAGCCTTTCATCTTCGGCTTGATGTCGCTAGACCGGACCATGTGCTGGGCGATCAGCAGGTTGTCGAACGCCATAGGCATGGCCGTCTTGAACAACTCAGCGCGGTCCCGTAGGGTCCTGGCGCTCTTCATGGGTGAGTCGAGGTCGATGGGCTCGCTCACAATGTTCCGGATGCGCATGCCCACGACGAGGTGGCGCCCATACAGCAGGTAGTACGAGTATCCCCCCAGCGACGTGTCTCGGCTGAGTCGGTAACCCATCATAATCCAGGGTAGGAATGCATCCCATTGCGTACAGTTGTACAGCAAGCAGTACTTACGCAACGCCTTCTTGGATATCTGGACGATCCGTTCGGACAAGCCGTTGGACGCGCATGGTCACGAGAAGTGATGCAGTGGTCGATGTACAAGGCAATCAGGAGCTCGGCAGACAAGCCTTCGAATTCTGATCCCTGGTCAGTAACGACCTCGGATGGCAGCCGAAGCGGGCCAGGACCTCAATGAACTTCTCGCAAATGTACTCAGCTTTCTTGGCTGGTATAGCAAAGATCTCGATCCACTTGTTGGAATGTTCGGTCTTCACAACCACGTACTCATTGCCGGCAGTCGATTTGATTGGCATCTCGAACAAGTCAATACCCCAACGGTAGAACATGCCCATGATTGGCAGAGGTATCAGTGTGGGACCCTTCACCTCGAAGGTGGCCTTGACACGGTCACAGACGACGAAGGAGCTGACCTCAGTTTCGACCTGGCCGAACATGCTGACCCACGAGTATGTGGGCTCGAGCAGTGAGTAGGTCTTCTTGACCCCGAAGTGTCCAATGTCCATGTGGACTCGGCGAATCAGGTTTGCGCGCTGGTCGGGCTTGGGCACAATCTTTGACCCATAGCCGTCGACACATCTGCACAACAAGTCGTGCTCGATGTGATAACCCTGGGCACGGCGCCAGATGCGGTCCCGAACCTGGCTCGAATCATCAGGTGGGTAGCTACCGACCCGCAGGAACTCGATCACGGGAGCATCATGCCAGATGTTGCGGTCGAGCTTGACGGGCATATCAACATTAGACGGCTCACGCTCAGGAGCGGCAGGAATGAGGGCCAGCATAGCTGACGGAGTGTTATCGGATCCAACAATCAGGCGGGCCAAGCATGCCGCGATGTGAGAGACGTTACTAGGAGTGTGATCCATCCGAGCATCGGTCCAGTCATGATCTAAGGGGATCGGGTTGCGTGAGAGCCCGTCCGCGTCAAGATTCTTGAGACCACTTAGATGAACGATCTCGAACTCGTACTCCCGAAGAATGTTAGCCCAGCGGGCGTACATTCTTGTGGACCTCATGCTCGTCATCAGTCACTTCAGAGGCTCGTGATCCGTGCTCTGCGTGGAGTGTCGGCCATAGAGGTACCAGGAGAAGATTTGGACTCCTGATATGCTACAGGCCTATAAGGCTGCGCTGGCCCTATAGCGGATCAGAATACACTTGCGGAAGCCCTTGTCTTGCTCTCCAGCTGCGCGCTCGTAAAAACTGCTTACTTCAGATCAACACCAATAGTGTGACCTTGTTCATTGACCTTCTCCCTGGCCATCCTTCCTAGTTCGGTACGTACGAAGCGTACTACATACCCAGGTTGGTATTCCTATCAGGTACTCAGTCGAACACAGTAAATCAGTA